GTAGTAACTTATACCATATTTAAACAGATAGCGTCATGCATAGCTTCAATAAGTGGGTATTCTAAATTAGAAATAATATTCCGAATTACTCTCATTTCCTCTACTTTTTATTCTATGTATACTGTATGTTTTTTTGTATTTACATTTGAAGTGCTGGCTGTAATATTCAGACAGCTCCACTTTTTTATGAAAATAAGATTTTTACTCAGTTGCCTTTTAAAAAACGAATCAATCGTTCCCTGCCAACAAGCAGATATCTCCATTTAAAATTACATAAATTTCAACGTTATTTGGAGCTGCTTTTCTTTAGGTTTGAAGCAAGAACCTAGAGCTATTTTCAGCAAGTAAAATTTCTAAAAAATGTAACTGACTGGTTATTGCAGCCATTTCTTCATTATTTGTTATTTTTATAAAGCCCATAAGACAGATACCAATAGCAGATGCCAATAACAGACCACGGTTAGTCCAAGTTGGCAAGCCTGGGTTCTTAATAAGAAACCTTATTCAAAAAAAAAACACGTAAGTTTTAAGAATCCGCCTTTATAACAAACCGTTACTTATTATCTTCATCAATCCAAGGACAGAAATTTTATCAATAAGGAAATCAGTTAGAAAACGTACCATTGTTGGTGTTCTCATCAGTGGACAAACTCACGTTTGATTTAACACGGAACTTCGCCGTGCTCTAGTATTTAAGCTCAGTGGTTTTAGGATTTAGAGTAGTTCATAATTTTATTGATCACAGTCAGTGATACATCTCACTGAAACGTTGTGTAAGTTAAAATGGAAGCCTGAAGTTTTTTTAGCGTCTAATAATAATAAATTGACTTTATTGAGTAAAAGAAGGATTTGAATGATGCAATAAAATAAATTAAATTTCCTATTCCATTAAGGTCTACCTTGGTGAAGTCTAGACGAAGAGTTACTTTCACTTAACCAAAGGAGATTCCATAATTTTTTAAGTGTCAAAGCTCTGAAACTGTGTGATGAGTTATAACTTAAGAAAGGAAGCACTTTATATACTTTATATTATTTTATATAATATATTTTATATTATTATGCATTGCTTAGAGATGGACCATATAATATGCAGTCATGGTAGTTGAAATGTGATAGTACAATGAGTTTTGAAACAAAATTCTTCATCAATCATTACTCCCAAACTGCTGAGCGTAATCCAGGCAAGAATAATAATAATAATAATAATCCCTAATCCTTCAATGTAAGGAGATCGAGTTGGCGAGTCATCAACTCAAGGGAGGAGGGTCATTGCCAGGTCCTCACAATAGGAATTGAACAACCAAACCAAATCCAAGGAGGCAATAGAGAAAGAGGGACATACCCTCTATTATAGATACGGGACAACACCGGTATCAGATCTAAGGAGAGACCAAGTTAAAGAGGTGGAGAAAATGGAGACAGATTCTCCAGCCTCTACCTCACGGGTACCTCAGTCGGAGGCAAGCTCCTCAATTGTGAAAGGCGGCACGGAGGGCCACACTCCAACCGTGGAAGGGTGTGTACCTTCGGAGGAAGAACTGTTGTCAGAGGAGGATAGGAAATACCTTGTCCCCTCTACAACAGGGGTATGATGGGTTATAGACTGTGTGATGACTCAAGGAAGGGGGGCACAATAGATATTTAAGGTCGCAATGATTAACCCCCCTCTTACTCATTCTACTACATTCTACTCCCAAACTTTCAGCACATATTACAAAGTTTATTGGTATATTTTTAATATGAAGCTGTAGGTTGTTTTATATAATATACATTTATACAATATATATAATATTTTTTAGCTAAATTTCTGTACAAATAATTATAAGTTTTATTGCAAGTTATGTTTCTCACAGATCTAAATTCATTGTGTTTGGCAAGGTTCATTACCATATTCTAAGCCTTCCATCTAACCCCGGCACTGGTTCTATCCTTTCTTTTTAAAACACAAATATAACCCCCGAGCTAAACCGAACCAGAAAATATAATAGGACGGATAGGACGGCCGAAGTTTAATGACTAGTCTAACCCGAGGTACTTTCAAACTTTGATTAATAGCCCCGCTGTATCTGGTCCGAAATGCGGCCGAACGGACCTTCATACTGTTCTTCAAACATTGTTAGTTTTCGAGAGTTTAAATGTTTAAAAACCGTATTTTATTTTCTACTGCGCGGCTTAAAAATCCAATTAGATAGTGTAACTAGTTTTGCGGTTGATTTGAAGGAATGCATGCTTTCGAAAATAAATCCTTTATTTAGTTTGTTCGTTGTAATGAAAAATAAAGTTGTTGTAATGAATTTAACATAGAAATTCTTAAAATGGTTATTTCTAAAGTAAATGCATGATAGGATTTTTAAAATGTATATGTTACGGCTAAAATGGATACTTGACTAGTTTTAACTCTGGCGTGGTGGGGTCTAGCACTATTTAAACTTCTGTGAAATTTTTACGCTTAATATTTAGGCCTCGCCGCGCCATTTACCTTTGTAGTCTAAGTACTGGCTACATAAAAAACCTTATCATCGTTACATGGCTAATTTTTTGTGTGAAGTATCTTTTTGTGTAGTCATTATGAAATAGTCATGTCTACTAGCGCAATCCCGGCGCTTAAAGGGGGGGGGGCAATCGAAAGGGTGAAATTTTGACACTAAAAATATTATAGGATACATGAGTTATAATTGCAAAAATAGCTTTTATTTATTATTTAGAAACGTGGAAAATTGTTGGCAGACATTTTTCTAGTCGCTAAAGTGCCGACAGACAACGCGAAAGAGGCATGAAATTTTAAAAATAATTAAAAAATAAAATTTGAAGAATAAAAAAAATTAAGGCATATTTGCATGCCGATTGGTGAAATGTCATATTTATTTATTTTAAAAGTCGTATGCAAGACAAAAAGATCGTGGCTCAATCAGCTGCAGACAGTTATCAAAAGCGCAATATTACTCGGGAACGCTGGCCGCCTCATCCATTTAAGTATAGATAAATCATATAATATACGATTATATTATAAATATATTTTTTTTATTATTTCAATAACGATTTTATTGTCTGCCCTTTTGCATACGGCTTTTTAAATTAATTAACTATAAACATGACATTCCACCAACCGACATGTATGTATGCGATGATTTTCTTTTGTCAAAATTCTATGCCTCTTTCGCGTTATCTGGCGGCATTTCAGCCACGAGAAAAATGTCTGTCAACAATTTTACACGTTTCCCAATAATAAATAAAAGCTATTTGGCAATTATAACTCGTGTACCTTATAATATTTTTAGTGTCAAAATTTCAACCTTTCGATTGGCCGCCCCCGCTTTAAGCCCCGGTATCGCGCTGGCAGACATGACTATTTCAAAATGACTACACAAAAGGATACTTCACACAAAAAATTAGCCATGTAACGATGATAAGGTTTTTTATGTAGCCAGCTCTCGGTCTATTTGAGTTAGGGTACCCATATGCAACTGTTAAAAAATGCGCACTTATTTTTATCAAGTATTGTTCCTACCAGCACAGGGGGTGTAAAGTTGCATTGGGGTCTGTGTGGCACCACCACGCCAAGAATGCTTCGTTATTAGGACAGTGCGGTGGGTAGTCCAAAAAGTGTGCGTCACGGGGACACTAATTTTGAGGAAGTATTAATTGAGTGGTTTTATGAACTTAAAGAGACTTAAGTGATATGAAGATTATTGGAGACATTGATTTTTCCCCGAAGAGTAACCATAACTCCGATTCTGAATCTCTTACTTACAGAAGAGAGAAAATTGAATAATCAATACCAGAAACGAAAGAGATGTGGTATATGTCAAAGGAGAAATGACGAAAAACAAAAATCTCATGAATCAAATGTGCAGTGCACGATCCATGTGCGGCCACTACACATCCTATGTTAGCATGAACTGTATTCGAAAAAGTTATGTACATTCAAAGTTTGCAGTTTTGTTGAAAATTATTTATGTTTATTACATTAGCTTCACATTTCAGTTGTTTGTACTTTCAATAATACGAGAAAATCATATCTCGTACTTATAATAATACGCGAAAATCTCTTCATAATTTATTTTTAACTGAAAGAAAAAAAATGGACTCCAACGGACCCCAGAACGCCATAAGCCGAACAAAAATTCATCACGTCAGTTGAGGGTTAAACTGGTTAAACTAGCCACCACTTTTCCATACTAGAATGTAGAATATTGAGGAGGGGAATTAATTACCGCGACCTTACAGATCTATTGTGTGTTCCCCCTTATTGAGTTGCAACGAGTTGCAACTTTGTCTTTGACATCAGCCGTACCAAAGTTCATGGCACGAATGGTCGTCGTCTCGGTGCACGCAGTGATAAGGTGTTCTGGTGTTTCTCCATTTTCCCCACAGAATCTGCATTCGCCATTGTTTCTTAGTTTCAGTCTACTGAGGTGTTCGTTGAGGAGGCAGTGTCCTGTTAGGACCCTGTGAAAATCACGAACATTGTTGTTACTTAAATCAATGAAAATCTTTGATTTTTCTCGGTCGTAAGTTTTGAAGAACTTTTTCGAGTGTCTTAGACCGTTGGAGGATTCCCATTCCTGGTTACGGATGAAGTCTTCTAGGTTGACGAGTCTTCTAGTATATTGAGTCTACCAAATGTCCTTTCAGAATATTCAAAAGCTATTTTGATGTGGGCAATTTGAATAAGTTTTTTCGAGTGTTGAAAGAATATGAGTAAAAGTCAGTCTTCTTCTTCTTAGGTCGCGGTCTTCCTTCGGAGGTTGGCGATCCATGGCTATGATGGAACACTGGCTATGATGGTGCGTGAAACCGCACCTCTGAAAATTTCGATCGATGTTCTACCGAACTGACAACTTCTTCCCACTGATCTCCTGCCCTCAATTTTGCCCTCGTTGACCAGTCTGAGCACCTCGTATCGATCACCCCTCATGATGTGACCGACGTACTGTAACTTCTGTTCCTTCACTGTTGATATGAGCCCTTTATCTTTGCCCATCCGCCTGAGTACCTCCTCATTGGTCACTCTCAGTCATCCAGGATATACCCAGCATACGACAATACAAGTACATCTCAAAAGCGTTAATGCGGTTTCCCAATGTCTGATTGAGTGTCCAACTCTCAGCGCCGTAGATAAATACTGGAAAGATGTAGCAACGCAGCAGTATGTGCAGTTCGAGGCTTAGATCTCGGCTGGAGAAGAGGGTTTTCATGGAAGCAAAAGTACGTCTGGCCTGTTCGATCTTCGCTAAAATTTCAGTTTTGGGGTCGCAAGCGTCTTTAACTAGATACTTTATGGACGATACTTGTTCTACCAACTAAAAGTCAATCAACATATTTATTGTTATTTATTAACGTAAAATGAGTTCCGTTTTATTTTTAGAGTGGCCTTTTTTATTCAACTTTAAAAATAAATATGGAATGAAAAATAGGTACATAAAAATATCCCTTTTATGTTACGAACATTTTTATCTGTTCAGACAGAACATGCAAATGAATTTAACATTTTCAGGTCACGCGTGGCATATCACTGGATACGTTTTAATATTTATAAGGCTACATAAACAAAATAGGTTTATTAGCATGCCTCTTTATTAATAATTAATTTTATTGAGATTGTCGCTAACGATCTTCTTTCCCTTTTCGTGTATTATGAATAAAGCACTTTTAATAAATAAAATACATACTCTGAAACAAGCCGTGTCAAAGGAGTCGAAAATGAGTTGAAACGCAAATCTGTTTATTTTAAAGTTATGGGGTACCTATTAATAATAATACAACGTATATAAATTTATTTTTATTTGAAGATTTATATATCTGAAATATTTATGAGCAGTCACTGTATAATAAAAAATGTCTACCGGGTGTTGCATCGTCGAGCGGGACATAGGAAATCCCATGTAAATTTTAATCGGATCAATTATTAGCTTCCTTAATTATTTTAGAGAATAATTATATTTAGGTTTATTGAAGAGCACTAAAACCCACATTCAAAATTATTCTTTTAGATATTTTTGATTAGCCCGTTTACGAGTTATTGCCGATTTCTTTTTAAATATTTCTCCTTTCTTATGGCCCTGTATTTACTTATGAGCACCAGTCAAGGTAAAAGATAACTGTCAAATGAAGTTGTCATTTCAGAAAGTTATCTATTTAGTGCTTTATTATTATTATTAAAAACTCATACCTACATCGAAAATATTAGCCATGAATTACACGACCGAAGAAAAAGTATTGATGATTAAATTGTATTATCAAGGAAATTGTTTTGTTCTAAGATTATTAGTGGACTGTAATAGGTATGAGTTTAAAGAGGTTTTGAACTTTTGACACTTTTATTTGTTATTTTTCAGCGGCGATCGGGCGGCCTTGTGTCTTACTTGAGTTTTGTCTATAAACTGAAACTTTCGTTAGCTGAGCGCGGTTGCCTAATTGCTTGGTTGTCTGGTAGATGTCGTTAAATCAATTTAAAATAATTTACAATAAAAATACAGAAACTAGACATGCCGCCGACCTTGAAATAATACATTGTTTCAACAAAATACAAACTAAATTATAATCTGATACATTATCATGAATTCCAACAAATACAAAATAATGCTTATTGCTAATCATATTCCATGGGTAAAGGAACGACCTTTGTTATCGCACGTTTAAAAATGCCATTTTTTGTGCGCACTGACACAACACGCACTAAATTATCACTTCCGGGATGAACAGACACTATACGTCCCAATGGCCAACGCATAGGAGGCTCGTTGTCTTCTTTCAGCAACACTAGGATGCCTTCCTTAACGTTTTCTTGGCGAGTTTGCCATTTGGACCTCTGTTGTAATGAATTCAAATAGTCTTTACTCCATAAAGACCAAAAACGCTGTACGAGCTGTTGTAGGTGCTTGAAGTGACGTAATCGATTGGCAGGAATATCAATGTCGTTCGATGGAGGGACTGCGATTAAACTTTCGCCGATCAGAAAATGTCCGGGCGTAAGAGCTTCTAGGTCGGAGAGGTCATTAGTGAGGGGTAAAATTGGGCGGGAGTTTAAGATTGCCTCTATTTGAGTTAGTAGTGTGTAAAAATTTTCAAAATTTAAATGATTATCGCCGAGAACACGCTTTAAGTGATGTTTAAACGAACGAACTGCAGACTCCCAAGTACCACCATGATGAGGCGATTTGGGTGGAATAAAATGCCACGTTATTCTATGCTCTGAGAAATAATTCGGGTATTTTTCGTTAACTGAATCTCGCACAACCTGGCATAATTTAAGCAATTCGTTATTCGAACCTACGAAGTTAGTCGCGTTGTCGCTAAATACATGACCACACAAACCACGACGAGAGACAAATCTTTTAAAGGCATTCAAAAAACCTTCTGTGCTAAGGTCGGTTACGAGCTCAGCATGAACGGCACGCGTACTAAGGCAAATAAAAATACACACATAAGCCTTAATTTTAACTCTATTCCGAGTTTTACCATCTTTTAGTAAATAAGGCCCAGCGTAATCGACTCCACAATAATAGAAAGGGCGAGAAGGTACGACTCTTGGTTTAGGTAAAGACCCCATTAATTGATTAATGTCGGCTGGTTTGACGCGGAAACATATTAGACATTTTCTCACTATCTTTCGGACCTCATTTCTTCCGTTGACTATCCAAAATTTGTCTCGAATTTGGTTTAATACAAACTGCGGACCAGCGTGTAAAAATATAACATGGTAATAATTAATAATTAAATCAACAAAACAATGTTTAGCGGGTAATAAAATAGGGTGTTTTCGGTCATATTTTAAGTCCGAATTTTTCAATCGACCGCCTACACGTAAAATACCTTTATTGTCTATAAAAGGATCAAGACTTATAAGTTTGCTATTTTTTGACAAGATTTTATTATTTTTTAAAGCCTTAATTTCTTCTGAAAATCGTTCCGATTGAATAATTCTATAAAGAGTTAATAAAGCCTCATCTAATTCTTGAAACGTAAGAATTCCGGTTAACTTGCTATTAGATTTTAAATTATGAAAAAATCGGTAAATATAAGCGACGATACGGATTAGTTTGGGATACGAAGAACATCTAGAAAATATTTCGTTTACGAGAACACTTTTAACAGCGGCGAAAGAAACCTCTATGTTTTCTTTTCTTACATCGGAAATTGATATTTTGATTTTCTTGGTATCAGGCCATGTTTCGGGCGCTGTTTTCAAAAACGACGGTCCGTACCACCAAAGTGCTTGGTTTTTTAATTCAAGTGGGTCGGCACCCCGAGAAACTATGCTGCTGGATTGATTTCTGTATTTATGTGGCTCCAGGTAATATCGGCGGTAAGACGTTGGATTTCCGCTACCCGGTTACAAATAAAAATAAAAGTTTTCCACTGGCTAGGCTCTGCATTAAGCCAGTCCAATACGATGGTTGAGTCGGTAAAAAGGACAGTATCGTTTACAGGGAAATCTAAAGCTTTTATTGTTTTTTCTAATAAACGAGCTAGTAAAAGTGCACCGCACAGTTCTAATCGAGGTAGGCTCATGGAACTTGACGTTAAAGGAGCTAACCGAGATTTCGCGCATATTAAGTGTGACTCGATTTCGTCACCGTTTTCGCTAACTAAATAAATACATGCTCCATACGCAAGTTGTGAAGCATCGGAAAATCCGTAAAGCCTTTTGGGTTTTTTGAAAGACTGGCCTTTTAATACACAACGCGGGATTTGCAACGACTTTAAATTTGGTAATTTACTAACGAAATCTAACCATTCGATCGAAATATCTTCTGGAACATCGGTGTCCCAGTTCACTTTGGAAATCCAAATCCTTTGTAAAATCAATTTAGCTTTAACGATTACAGGACTAATTAAACCCAAGATATCGAAAAGCTGTCCTATCGCGGCTAAAACCGTTCTTTTCGTAATTTTGAAAGTATCGATTTTTATATTATAATTATATCCGATGGTATCCATACTAGGATTCCAAACTGTGCCTAACGTTTTCGTTTCGCCTTCCCCTGGTATACAAAGTCTTCGTTTGGCGTATAGCCGGAAATTTCTAGAACGCGGTGATCATTGGAAATCCATTTTCGCAAATTAAATCCGAATTTCGATAAAATTTTGTTGATTTTTATTTTTAAGTCAATAGCTTTGTCAAGGTCATGATGACCAAAAATTAAGTCGTCCATGTAAAAATTATTGATAATAATTTGACTTATTTCGGGGTTAGAATCTTTAATTTTAAGACCGATTTCATGCAGTGCGCGAGTAGCCAAAAAAGATGCGCTAGCGGTACCGTAAGTCACCGTATTTAACTGATAATGGATTATTTCTTTAGTTTCATTATCTCTCCAAAGTATACGCTGTAAACTACGTTGTGATTCGTCGATCAATATCATTCGATACATTTTTTCTATGTCCGCTACGATTAATATTGGATAAGTACGCATTCTTAATACGACGTCAAAAACATCCCGTTGAACTTTCGGTCCGACTTTTAACACGTCATTTAAACTAAGCCCAGAATCAGTTTTTAAACTAGCGTTGAAGACAACTCGTACCTTTGTAGTACTACTACTCTCCTTTACAACCGCGTGATGGCTCAAGTATACGCACACCTTTCCAGGTTGATCTAATTCCGGATTAATTTCCGACATGTGTCCTAACTGCTTATATTCGTTTAAAAAATCCGCGTATTGTTGTTGTAAATCGGGTTTTTTTGCTAAACGTCGCTCTAAAGATAATAAACAATTTACGGCAATAGAATAGGAATCGCCCAATGCTAAATAATTTTCTTTTAGCGGAAGTTTTACGATGAATCGCCCGTCGGAATCGATTTTGTAATTTTCCCGAAAATGTTTTTCACATTCTAATTCTTCGTTACTTAATTCATTTTGTTTATTTTCAATATTTTCTATTTGCCAAAATTGTTGAACGTTATTATGCAACATTTTATCGCGTTCTTGATTTAAAGTTAAAAAACAATTAGTATTTGCGTTATTAGTGCGGTGGTTTGTCGTTAATTTATGTAAATCTAAAGGTCCTACAAGAACCCAACCGAATTTGGTGTTCTGTAAAATAGGCGCGTTGTCTCCGAAGAGTATTTTTTCACTACTCAAACAACGGAAAAATATTTCGGTTCCTATTAAAATGTCTATAGGCTCTGAATTAAAAAAATCAGGATCGGCCAACGTAATATTTTCGGGCATATTTATTAAAGTAGGATCGAAAGAAACTTGCGGCAATTTTGTAGTAATCTGACTGATTACCAAGAATTCAATTTTAGCCTGGAACGCATCATTTAACGATCTTATAGTTGTTTTAATTTTAGACGATACCCTACAGGACGCGTTATTTATACCTATAACCGGCATATTTATTTTGTTGCGTGGTAATTTTAATTTATTGCAAAGTTCTTCCGAACAAAAGTTTGACTGGCTCGCGGAGTCTAATAACGCGCGACACTTTACCGTCCTGCCGTTTGAATCTAAAATATTTACGTATGCTGTAGCAAGCAAAATCTGCTCGTCGTTTTCACCTTGGCTAGCAGCTGATGCCGTGGCGGTACTATACGGAGCCGTCTGCATTTCACCGACTTCGCTTGGCGCGTTACGTAGCGAGCCCTTGTCAGCTCTGTTGCCGGGTTGAGCACGTATGTCAGTAGTTTCATTTTCGCAATTCCTGTGTACCTCTAAAAAATTATTTGAAGCGGGAATTTGTAAATTTGCGGTGTTACCGTCGTTCATAAGAGTTACAGCGGCAAACGTATTATTATTTTGCGGATTTCGATTTGTATTATTATCGGAATTACGATTTGGTGGATTTCGATTCGAATTATAATTATAGTCGTGTAATATTGAGTTGTGCTTTCGATTGCAAACCTTACAGGTTTTACTTGTACATTCGTTGACGCTATGCCCGGTTTTCAAGCAGTTCGTACATATTCCTAAACGTTTTAATTCGAAAAATCTACTTTTAAACGGCAACGCGAGTAGTTTCGGACATTTGTACGTATAATGTGAAGTTTCGTGGCAAAACGAACAATTGCCGACATCGTAAAATTGTAACGGTTGTTCTTGCCCTTGATTTAAAGGAATATTTGCGTTAACGTGTGCTACAACTCCACGATTGGGCACTGAGGTTCCGCGATTTTGGGGGTTTCTTTCGTGTGTATTTTTTTCGTATACGCTTTGATTTTTATTGTCGATAGTTTCGAGCACTTGACATTTGTTTTTTAAGAACGATATAAAGTCTTCGAAGGTAGGAGAATCTTGCTTGTTAAAAATTTCCCATTCTTTTCGGGTATTGTTGTCTAATTTTTTGCGCAATTAGATAAATTAGTAATGTATCCCAGTGATCTACCGGTTGTTGTAGACTGGTTAAAGCTCGGAGATTTCGCACGACGTTATCGATAAGTTTACGTAAATTTGGATATGATTCTTTCGTGATGCTCGGCATTTCGAATATATTTCGGACGTGGCTGTGGATTAACACTCGCTTATTTTCATATCTTTCGCGTAATAACTTAATAGCTTCATTATAATTAGATTCGCAAATTTCTAAAGAATGTAATACCTGTGCTGCTTCCCCTTGAAGGCAGGATTGCAGATAATAGAACTTTTGTATTTTTGTCAGTTCAGAATTTTTGTCAACCAGCGCTTGAAAGATCTCAAAAAAAGGCAACCAGTTTTCGTACGTTCCGCTAAAATGTGGCAACGAAATAGACTGTAATTTAGCGCTGTTACTACTATTGGGCACCAGACGGTAAACTCGCGGGTATGCTTGTATTTAAATTTGAATGCACGTCACGATCATGCTGTTCTATTAAATCGTTCGCCAAAGCGGCTGCGTTGAAGTATTCGTCTTCAAACAATATTCTCTCTGGTTCCTGAGAGGTATCCAATTCCTCTAATTTGGTTTGAATAGCTTCAAACTCTGCCCAAGCTGTGTCGAGGTTCGCTTTTCTTACTTTTAAAACCGATATATTAAGATTTTGACTGTTGACAAAATTATTAAAGCGTGTTAACGTGGCTTTTAATTGGCCCCTACGATATACCAATCTTTTGATCTCGACTGCCTTCGTGGCGGCACTTTGGGCTGCTGTATTTTCAGAGTCGTTAATTTTTTTTTTTTAAATTTTAATTTTTTGAATTTTATCAAATTTTAATTTTCGTTATAAAAAAACTACATAAATTGCAAAAATCTATTTTAAACTACGTCCAAATAAACACTACGAATCCAAATTTTAGCATGCAGATGGGTACATTTATAAGCGGCAAAACTAAGCAGGGATTACTACGGTTAGGACTTATTAAATGAAAGGAAACGACCTGTTAAATTTCTGGACTCCTTGCTGCTTGCTGTTCGGCTTGGCAACGTTGCGGCTCCTCCAACCAGGAACAATGGCGCTCGTCTTGACCGGCGAACTTTACGCGTTTACGATTTGTTTACGATCACTTTTCCGATTAATTCTGCTCTAAGGACCAAAATGTTTTGTTCTAAGATTATTAGTGGACTGTAATAGGTATGAGTTTAAAGAGGTTTTGAACTTTTGACACTTTTATTTGTTATTTTTCAGCGGCGATCGGGCGGCCTTGTGTCTTACTTGAGTTTTGTCTATAAACTGAAACTTTCGTCAGCTGAGCGCGGTTGCCTAATTGCTTGGTTGTCTGGTAGATGTCGTTAAATCAATTTAAAATAATTTACAATAAAAATACAGAAACTAGACAGAAATAGTTATCAAAAGGTGTCGGACATGTTTGCTGCTCTGTATCCGAATAGACCGATACCTGGAAAATCTACAATCGCAAGGAATATCCAGAGAATTGAGACCTAAGGTACCCTAATAAATAACTGCAGATGTGAAGCAAGGCAGGAACAAAGAGAAGATGCAAGAAAAGATACCGACTTGGAAGTTTTATTGTGCGTGGAAGAGAACGATGGAAAGATCAGCACAAGGAAACTTGAGGATGAAATAGGAATAGATCACACTACAGCGTTTCGAATTTTGAAACGACATAAATACTATTCATTCAAATATAAAACGTACCAAGAGCTACGAGAGGGGGACGAAATACGGCGACAGGCGTTTTGTTTTGATATGATGGAAAGAGCAAACACGGATAGGCAATTTTTAAAAAATATAACTTTCACTGACGAGTGCATGTTCACCTTAAATAATGAACCCAATGTTCAAAATTATCGATATTGGAACAAAGAAAACCAACACAGGTTTGTCAAAACAAGGACGCAATATCCACAGAAAGTAAATGTTTGGGCAGGGATATTCGGACACAATATTATCGGGTCATTATTTCTTACGCGAAATATAAATGCAGAATATTATTTGGAACTACGCGAAAATCATATTTTACCTGCTTTACATGATGCTGCTAGGGAAAATCAGGAAGTTTGGTACCAAATGGATGGCTGCCCGGCACATAGTACCCTGGCTGTTCGGGAATATTTAGACAATAGTTTTAACGGAAACGTTTTTGGACTAAATCATACAGTAAATTGGCCAGCAAGGTATCCTGATATTTCGCCAAATGATTTCTTTCTCTGGAGCCATTTAAAAAACAGGATATACAAGGATAAAAAATACCCAAATCTAGACGAGTTAAAAATGCTATTTCTGCCGAATGCAATAGAATTTCAGTTTATCAACTAGCGAATGTAAGAAGAGAATTTTATGATCGCCTGGGTTATTGTCTAGCAGTCGATGGAAGAATATTTGAACATCTTAAATCCTAAAGTTCTAACAATTTAATAGTACCTAAATTAATAAATTGTAGCGTTTTTTAAACAACCACCACTGCGAACGGCAGCTTTTCATCGGAGAGCAGTCGTGGATAAGGTATTTCACTGGAAAGAAAACTAATTAATAACAATAAACAAAAAAATAGATATTGGGCGCCAGGCATGTACAGAGAAAGAAAACACAGTTGTATAATACTTAAAATTAATGACTATATTTATTCGTGATGAATTCTGATGGTAAATAGCATTGTACAATTAATATAATTATTATAGTGGTTACTTGTTGAGTAAAACTATATATGTAAATAATATTAAATACGTTCTATGAAAAGACTATAAAGAAAATACAATGCGTGTAACATTAGAGAAAATATAAGAAAAGTAGCATTACTTTATTTAAATTGTTAAATTTATATGGTGTTCAATCAGATGTGTTGCAACCTGTAGATTCTAGAATCTATCTCGTCATTCATCTATTAGTATAGCGAAATAATGATGTCTATAGAAAGTAATACCATTACAATGCGTGATATTATGAAATCTAAAATCTAAATCACACTTTTACTACTGCATTGACATAAATATTCTTAATAATCTAACCACTAAATATAGTCTGTACGCTATAGTTTAAATGTACGTTACTGTTTAAGACTGAAAACATTTTAGGTGTTAAATGCAATACCAGAACTTAAAATTACACTTAGCTGTTCTTTAATGTAACCCTGCTTCAACCAGTAGCAGCGCGAGGAGGTCTTGCATCTCTGCACTGTCTGTCGGCGATCCAGGCTTAGAAATGGGGTGAAGCAGCACGGGGCTCAAGCCACACCCACGCTGGGGCACTCTATGTGAAGACAAATCAATCCTACAGGGGACACTTGTCCATGGGACATCCGTCCATAAGACAGTGGCACAAGGGAATACTAGGACCTTGGATAATACCCGTACCTTGTAAATAGTCCGTCCGTAAGACCCTAAGAACATGAAACCCATGTTTAAAATCAAACACCGTCTAATAAACAAAATGAACCTACCTCGAAGTACTTCCGAGGGCTCAATAAATAATAAATAATCTGTCCTTTCTTCCAAATGACATTCTGGAGGCCAAAAGCAAAGGGACGCCAACGTGCCAGCCAAATACAAATACAAGTTGGGCCATCCGTAACTCTACCCTAAAAATATTCGCTAATAATAACGAATCTAAAAGGAAAATAACTCAGCTTTACCTGTAGCTTCGAAATGGCAGCTGATTCAGATAATACAGCCAGATTTAAATGACCACCATTTCTCAACACTGGGACTAATGGCGTCTAAGAGGCCGAACGGTCCAACCAAAAGTGAAGTTAGATCACAAAGAATTGACAGAAGCGAAGTTGACAGCGCGCGCTCCCACAGAGCGATACCATAAATCCTTACAGCCGTAGCTACTGAATAGGCTTATATCTGGGAACGTAAAAATTGCGCGTCAAATAAGCTATCCGGCTTGAACGAGAGGGAATCCGGTGATGATAGGCCAGATATCATATATCATATGTAAAAAAGACATGTAACGAACTAAAAACGTTACAAAATTATTGAATATTGTAATAATACTATAATTAACCTTGTAACTGATTACTTTATTTTACTTTAATTCATATTAATTTGTATTTATAAAAACATTTTTAAGATTTCCGATGTAGGAATGAGTTTTCAATAATAATAAAGCACTAAATAGGTAAATTTCTGAAATGACAACTTCATTTGACAGTTATCTTTTACCTTGACTGGTGCTCATAAGTAAATACAGGGCCATAAGAAAGGAGAAATATTTAAAAAGAAATCGGCGATAACTCGTAAACGAGCTAATCAAAAATATCTAAAGTTATTCTTTTGAATGTGGGTTTTAGTGCTCTTTAATAAACCTAAAGAATTATTCTCTAAAATAATTAGGGAAGCCAATAATTGACCCCATTAAAATTTACATGGGATTTCCTATGTCCCGTCCGAC